CAAAGAAATATAGCAGAAAAAGTTGATTGGCTAAATGTGTCAAATTTTTATATAAACTGGTAGGTATGAAGCTACATTTATCGGTCAGATCGTGAACGAGATCCTAATCCGTGTACTACAACGCCCGCATTTGAATGTAGCCAAATACCAAGTTGGAATGGAGTCTTGTGTAGAAAAGGTGAAAGAGCTTTTAGATGGTGGAAATGATCCGTGTGTGGTTGGGATTTGGGGGGCATCTGGAATCGGCAAGACAGAAGTTGCAAAAACTGTTTATAATGCAATTGCTTATAAGTTTGAAGGTCGTTGTTTCCTGGCAGATGTTCGAGAAAAGTCAATGCAATACGAAGGCCTACTCCAACTACAAAACACTCTTCTAAGTGAGATTGGTGGTTCAGAGTGGAAAGCTGTCAATACTCATAGAGAAACATCCTTATAGAGAAACTGTTGAGGCGAAAGAAGATTCTCTTAATTCTTGATGATGTGGATGAACTGGAGCATTTAAACAACTTGGTTCAAGTTGAATGGCTCGGTGAGGGTAGCACAATGATCATAACCACGAAAGATATTGGATTGTTGAAATCTTATGACGTTGAGTTGATATACAAGGTCCAAAAGTTAAAAGACGACAAGGCTCTTGAGCTTTTAAGTTGGAATGCCTTCAGAAAAAAAGAACCTTCAGATGATTATTTGGGACTCGCACGACGTGCAATAGCATATGCTCAAGGCCATCCGTTAGCACTTAATCTTATAGGTTCTTATCTACATAATAAAAGTATAGATCGTTGGCAAGCTGTAATGGATAGTTACGATTCTTACGATAGAGAACCTTATGGAGGAATTCAAAAAATACTTCGAAAAAGTTATGATACCTTGGATTATGTCATGCAACAAGTTTTTTTAGACATTGCATGCTTCTTCAAGGGCGAAGATAAAGATTACGTGTTACAAATATTAAGAAGTTCGAAGCTCAGTGTACCTCAAGATTGTATTGATGTACTCGTTGAGAAAGCCATCATAACTATTGAATATAATAGAATTTTGATGCATGACTTGCTAGAAAAAATGGGTAAGCGTATAGTTCGTGAAGAATCGCCCACTGAACCAGGCGAGCGGAGCAGATTGTGGCATCCTGAACATGTGTATCGTGTTCTAACTGAAAACAGAGTAAGTAGAATATATGTTCTTGCATTTGGTTTAATTGGCATGATTTTGAAAAGAAAAAAAAATAGAAAACCCTTCTGGTTGGTTTGTTATACGATTTGTTTGTTAACACTATTTATTTTTCCATCTTAGGGAACAAAGAAAATTAAAGGCATTGTGGTGAAGTTGCCCAAACCAGATGTGATACCCTTGAATGCAAAAAGCTTTTTCAAGATGGAAAATCTTGAAATTTTTATAATCCGTAATGCACACTTTTTTGGATGCGTTGAGTATCTACCTGACGATTTGAGGTGGATTGAATTTGGTGGAGATGGGCTTCAAGACTGGGGATCCAATATTCTTCAAAAGCATATATTTACATTCAATTTGCAATCCAATTGTCATCTAAGGCATCTTGTCACGTTTATTATGCCAAACAGTGACATCAGACAATTGAAGGTATTTCAGGTATGTATACGTATTATAAATTAATTTGGACAATTACTAATTTAATTGTATATTTTATTTTTGGAAAAAGAAATTTGCCAAAGCTTTTCATCATTAATTATTCTATTTAAAGTTTGTGATTTTGTTTTCTTTTGATTTTGATTTCACAGAATTTGGCAAAGCTTACATCTTTGGATTTAAGTGGTTCCGAATTCTTAGAAAAAATTCCCAACTTATCCGGAAGTCCAAACCTAAGGGAGTTGATTCTAGATGAGTGTAAAAGTTTAGTTGAAGTTGATGATTCTGTTGGATTCCTTGATAAACTTGATACATTAAGTCTTTATGGGTGCTCTAGGCTTGAGAGATTTGCGACGAGACTTAGAATGAGATCCCTTCAAAGCCTTAATCTTGAAGGTTGCACAAGGCTCAAGAGTTTCCCAGAAATAGAGGCCAAGATGGAATCTCTACAGTATTTGAACATATCAGAAAGTGGCATAAGAGAATTGCCTTCATCAATTGCAAATCTAACTGGGCTTGAAATGTTGAATGCAAATGAATGTGAAAACCTTACAGGTACATCATTACATCACATTTATGGGTTGCAACATCTCGACTGTATTGAAATGGATGGATGCCCAAAACTGGTGATATTTGGGAAGTTTTCAACTAGCTTAGATACTTCACATTACAACAGTGTCCCATTAGCCCTTTTCAACGTACGCCATCTTTATCTTGGTGAATGCAATTTATCAGAAAGTGATTTTCTTGTGCCTCTTCAATATGAACCATCCAGTCTTCATTGCTGGTGGTCCACATTAACAGATCTTAATCTGTCGAGAAACAATTTTGTTAGTCTTCCGAATTGCATTAGCAAATTTGTCAACTTGGAAACACTTTATTTGACTGGTTGCAAGAGGCTTCGGGAAATTCCACATGCCCTTCCACCAAATCTAAGTTGTTTATTTCTGGAAGAGTGCTCATCATTGGAGAAAATTCCAAAGTTGCCCTCGGGGCTTAGGCTTCTGCGGTTGACTAATTGCTTTAGACTAAGTGGCGATGAGGTGGCAAAGTTGGAAAATAATTTGTTGAACTTGAATCAGGTTCGTCTCTCCTCTCTTAATTTCTCTTGAAGTTAAAATATATAATTTGTAGATACTTGGGAGGGAGAACCGATCATGATTGTTTGTAATTAGTTATTTACATATTATTCACTATTGCAGGAAACTCTTCGGTGCTCTCAATTGCAGGTTACGTATCCAGGCGATGAAGTTCCAAAGCGGTTCAACTATACCTCTAAACATTCAACTATACCTTATTATGGTGGAAGTGAATTTAGTTTTGAAATTCCTCTAAATTTACAGGAGAGGGAGACGTTATTAGGATTGGCTCTATCTTTTGTTTTTCAACCACGGCCTTTATCAGAAGAATTTGGATATGATTACAATTTTCGTATTCACATCAACGAAGCAAGTGATTATAAAGAATTTAAGTGGAATGGGGAAGGCATGGAGACAGCTCATGTGGGGCTCATGTTAGTGGATTTAGAGAAGCAGGGAGAAAGCCCATGTGGGGCTCATGTTAGTGGAGATATTTGTAAAGTTAAATTTCATTTCCCCGCAGGGGCAGGCATTAAAAGCTGCGGGGTGCAGCCCCTATTGCGCAAAGGAGATGAACAGCTTCCCTCGTCTTTGGAACCAACGAGTAGCCTTGGATCCTCAGATATCGTCAATGATGAATATGATCGGCAACAACAATGGCCTTCCTTATCTTCGAACCCAGCGGATGATCATCCGACACACACACAGATTGATCACAATGTTCCTTCTGATATTGAGGAGGAGCAAGAGCAACCGTCCACCATTTCTGATTTACTAGGAGTTTGGGTACGTACATTTCAGTTTTAGTGATTTTTTTTTTATTATTCTTTATTGTGATATCTTTTTTAAATTAATATAATTAAAATTAATTAATTTAAATTAAATAAAGGAAAATTTTTGAACAATCTGCATAATCAAAGATTTCATATCTTTAGAAACAAAGATTTCATATTTGTAGGTGGTTAGTTATTAGAATCAACTTGATTGATCTCGACCCTCATGATCTCATAGGTCTCGGCCTGCGTCGGTTGTTTAAATTTCTGGTGTAAGCCAAGAAAGTGAACTCATTAATGCTGCTGCTCTAGTTAGTCAGCCTGTTGTTTCTGCCAAGGAACCGACAAGCCTGCGGTCTATTTGTGTTCCACCATCGGAACCTGGGAGTGACGCGTGCATTAGTTGTTGGAATTGGACTTCAAATTCTTGAACAGGTTTGGTTGAAAAAGTTAAAAGGGAAATTTTATTTAAACTCATATAACTTTTTTTCTACACTCCTCAGGTGTATGAGCAGGCTGGTATCGCCGTTCTTCTATCTGACATAGGGTTGAATCCGACATCTGCATCTCTCTTCGTAAGTGCCATTACAACTTTCTTAATGGATATAGCTAGTAGAAGATAATTTCGAACACCTTCGGTTTCCTAGAACAGATTGCTAACTTTTAATCAAAATTATAACTAGGGTACACTATCCAAATGATAAAATACAGTTTAGTGTCCCTTCAGTTCTATTTTAGACTAAAAGTTTGTAACCGGTTCTATCTATGCATATTTGCGGAAAATAAGCTTTCCTTTTTGCCTTTCTTGGTATGCAGGTCACTGCTGCTCTCCACATTATATTGTCCCTCACTCTTCTTGTAGTTGCCAACATTGTCAACTTGGGAACTGTTCTGAATGCAACAATCTCCACCGCCGTGCCTGCTGCTTCGTCATGGCATTTGGAGTAACCCCGAACATTCTCTGCTCAGAGATCATGCCTACGAGCATCCACGGCCTCTGCATTGCCATCTGTGCCCTCACATTCTGGATTGGAGACATCATCATCACTTACGCATTTCCTGTCATGCTCTCCTCCGTTGGATTTGCTGGCATCTTCGGAATCTATGTTGTCGGGTGCATCGTTCCTGGATATTTGTTTACTTGAAGGTGCCTGAAACTAAAGGCATGCCTCTTGAAGGTAGCTGCTGCTGATGCATCTGTTGGATTCCAATGATAACTGATTTGATTTATTTAGAGGGTTTGAAAGTTTGGTTTGGCTTTAGACGGGATTATGAGGACAGGATTTGAGTTGGAAAAAGTGTTGATGACTGGATTGGATTTTTAGAAAGTGATTTTGTAATCATCACTATCTACTGATTGCTTGTCTGACATATTTTTTAAAAATTAGTGTCTGATACTAATTTGACTTGCCTATTTTAACCATTTATTTATATCATCATTTGTATCATCTTTCTAATAAAAATGAGACTCACATGCATTTACAAGCCGTAAAAAAATTATATACAAATAGATGATAAATATAGCACTACTATTTTTGTAATATTTTTTAAAATTTTGTAGAACGAAAAAAAGGAAAAGAAGAGAGACTGTTTTAACTGCAGGCCTAAAAGCAGAGCCCTGTTGCCGCGTAGCACTAGGAAGTCAGTCATCGTCTTCAGTCTTCACCAAATTGAGTTAGAAGAATTAGGGTTTTAGAGCTGCAAAGATCCAAACTTTATCAGTCTCTCCGAAAGTAATTAGAGAAATGGAAACCCAATCAAGGGATGGAGACTCTCTGGAGAAGCGGCCCGGCATCTTCTTCCTCGGCTCCCCCGGCGTCGTCAAACGCTCTCTCATTTCCCGTATGCTCTCTCTCTTTCTCTCTCCTTTGGTCGATAGATTTCTAGGCTTACCGGGTTTGGATTTTTGACGATGCTTCTGATTCTTCATCGTCATCTCAGCTGGTAGTTGATGGGTATGTAAAATTTTGAACTTAGGGATCAAAGAATTCAACTCTTATGAATTTTGGGAACAAACAATTCGTTTTGAATTCTTTTGAAATGTGTATTTTGATGACTTTTGTTGTAAAGAAATAGATGGAATATCTCTACAAATTACTACACAGCTGGTGTTTCGGTATGGTTGGTTCATCTCCATGACGAATTTTTTATAGAGTCCCTCCCAATGTATGAGCAGTTGGCTGCCTTGATCTTGGTTTTCGACACAACTGAGGTTTTGGTCTCTTGCCACTCACTCTTTGTCACTTTGTTTACTTGTTTATCATGATTTTCAATGTGTCTTATATCAATTTGCTCTCATTATGCTGCAGTTGTCGTCTCTGTCTGCGCTTCAGGAATGGGTATCTCAAACTGATCTTCAAAAGTTCGATATACTAGTATGCGTAGGGAATAAGGTTGATCGTGTTCCGGGTCACCCGGTTCGTGCCGAATATAGAAGACGACTGCAGAAGCTTGGAGACCCGTTTGCTGATGCCGGTCCAGGGTTCACTGCGTATGGAATCTCCGAGACTGAAGGAAGCAGTTTATTGGGGGATGACGAGCCATTTTGGGGGGCTAGCCACACATGTTTGGAATGGTGCACTGAGCATAACATTGAGTTCGTTGAAGCTTGCGCTTCAAATACTGATTTTGACAAATGTAAGGTAGCCCTTCTTTCTGATTTGTAGTTTATGGCAAGTTTTATACGAAAGTGAAAAATAAAAAGTACCCTGCTCGAAGGTTACTTTCATGTGTCAGCTTCAATATTAGAAAGAGTTGGTTAGCCTGAGAAAATGAATAAAAGTGATATCGTGATAAATGAGCACGTCGATCGTACGGCACACAAATTTCCTGCTTTGTTGGATATCTTTTAAGTTTAAGGTACTGTTTTACAGGTTTGTCAGTTGATGGCGACTCGCAAGGTATTGAATGACTTTTTGGTGCTCTTTCCGCACATATGTGGCCTGAAATGATTCTGAAATCAGGCGATAAGATTGCTGAACCGTCATTACCTGAAAGAGGAGTAGGTTTTATACTATGCCGCTTATATTTGGTTTATAATATATATTTTACTATTAAGTAGGATTCTAAATGTCTGAAACTTGAATCCTTTGTGCTAGACTTGTCAGATGAAGAATCTGATTATGAATTTGAGTATGAAGTCCTCTCTGCAGGTTCAGCTGATCCATTTGATGACACGGAAGAATGGGTTTCTGCGAATGGTTTTGCTGGACCTTCAGATATGCGAGGACTGGCTGCTCAAGGTAATCTAGTCCTAGAATGCAAACAAGAGAATGGAACCAGTTCTAATAAGGAGGTTCCCCGTGCCTTGAACTCGACAGCTGCGTTGGATGATAGTATTAGCAAAGGAGTATCCAGTGCAGAAGAACCTGAACAGGACACAGAACATGACCAAGCCCCAGAACCGGATGAGGGTACGAATTTTGAATTTGAAGATTTGGAACAGTCGATGTCTGAGATTGGGAACCTGCGCAACAGTTCGAGATTGCTGCCGGATTTTCAGAGAAGAGATATGGCTGATATGGCTGCAATGCTGGCCATGAAAATGGCTACCATGTTTGGGGTTGGCAGTGATGGTGAAGTGGAAAGTATCGGCGAGTAAAGGCTATGAGTATCTGTTGACCCTAGAAATTACAAAGCCTACGTGGCGCGCAGGCCGAGTATATTCTAAGCTAACTACGTCCTTCGGTGATTGCGGGGCGTGCCAACTCGTCGGCCGAGGTTCGGCCGAGGAATAAATTTGATGATGCTGTGTTGAGTCGCGCTACTGACTTTTGCGTCTTGCGATTGCGGCCGAGAAAGGAACACGTCTCGGCCTCTTGGGTTCTCGAGCCTGAAGACAAGGCTGCTATTTCTTACAAAGTTCACGAACCGAATTCGGCTTGCAATGTGCCGAATAATAACTGTGACACCTCACCTCGCCGAGAAGGCTAATGAGATGACCTCGACCAACAAGGATCCGAAAACCCCTCTCGACCGAGACTTGGATAGGTAACCGACCGTTCTCGCCGCAGTGCTGTTGATGCCAACGGAAGATACTGCGAGACCGACCGACTCTACGGTGACAGAGCTATCTATGCCGACTTAAGATACCACCGGTTGCTTCCACAGTGCTGTTGATGCCAACGGAAGATGTGTCAGCGAAAAAGGAAAAGAAAAAGATCTCAAGTTGTGAGAATTTGCGCAGGGCAATTTTGTATTGATTTTTGTGGGGGCCTCTTGAATAATGCACAGCCTCATGTATTTATAATACTATTTACTGGCCATGTTGAACTTTATCCGTCGCGGCATCCAAGCTATCAAAATAATATTCCTCAGAATATTTTCCTTCAACAACCCCACGGATTGCTATTCAATTGTTATCTTTTGCATGCCCAAAAGAGACCATATCACTTGGAACTCTACTTCCCGTCAGACAGTATCCTAAACATCACCAACTCTTGCTTGGTCAATCCTAATCTTTCACCCATCCACATATGCTTTATCCACGCATACATGATACTTAAAACAAATGGTTAATGGTTTTTGCTTTATCTGCAAAAACTACCATGATCCTGTCACATCACCTTGTTTTGGTTACTCCCCACATCATCTCAATGTGCTGATCATCCCATTACTTTGTGGAATTGCTCCCCACGGTTCCGTATACCAAATAGAACTCCAATGCTGCATGGTATTTTACATAACCACAATTAATTCAAACTCTGTTGTTGTTGTTTTCATTGGAGATAATGAAAATCCCATTTATTCCTCCGTATAAGAAAAGGATAAATAATGATTATGATAAAAATCATAATATTATCCCTCTATCTTCACTTTTCGATCGACGGTGTAGAAACGTGCTTACTCAACGGCCTTGATTACTCGGGCCGATGGTGTAAATTTGGGCTCAAACATTGCCCCCCAATTTCCTTGCACTTCGGCTCGTAAGCCGAATGGTTAAGGAAATTAGCGCAGTTGAAGAAATATATAGTCGAAGAGAATTGAGCATCCACCGCCGCATAAAAAATCACTCGGCAGAAAGTTGTTCTAAATACAACCTTGCCGAGGAAGAAAAGCAACCATATACCAGATGATTGGGTTCTATGCCGAATACCCAACAGACAGAGCAACATGGAGAATCAACAGCCTCGGCATCAATCTATGACAGCACACAATACACTAAAACACATTTTCATGCAAGCTAACTTTATACATACATATATATATATATATACATATATATATATATATATATATACATATACATATATATAGTTGAGGTCAAAAGCACATGCACGTGGTCTTAGTGTTCTTCTCAGTTGAGGCGCACAAAACCCAAAAAGAAAAACCAAATCAACTAGGCAATACCTTGACAAGCCGTCCTTGGCCAACTTCTTTTATATATCTCGGCCAACTTTTTTTTATTTTTTTTTTATTCGGCTTTTATTCGGCCTCGGTCTAGACGGTCGAAATGCTCCTTTTTTCCAGTTTGTGCATCAAAAATTATTCCTACTTTTTCTCTCTTCTGCACCGAGTATCAAATTTAACCGAGTATCTGTGTAGCCCCCCTTATTTTCTTATGCATCGGCTTAATTAGCCAGATGATTAAGAAAATAATTTATTCTCTTTTTTTTTTTTTTAAAAAAAAACAGAAGAAAACGAAAGTGGCCGATCAATAGTAAGGAGGAGGCCAACGATGCTTTACTCCAAGCCGAGATCTTTTAATATCAAAATTCTCAAATTGATTTTGCTCTAGGCCGAATAAAGAATTTTCTCCAAATATTTTTGACTTGGTGAAATATTTTTCATTCTCGGCCGCCGAATGTGTTAAACAATTATTATGCCCCCCAGGCATAATTTCGGCTTTTAATTCAAACAACTTAGCCGAACAGGATTTCTCCATATCGGCTTTATTGCCAATAATCATATCAATTGGCGTAGTTTCTTGGGCTAGGCCAATATCTTGGCCTTGTTCGTCATTGGAGCATTCCTCTGACGAATCATTTTCCAAGTCAATTTTTGTATCTAGCTCAAGAACTTGAATTTTTTCTTCTAGGCCTACCACACTTTCAGTCTCGACCGAAAAAATAGGTGGCTTTTGTTCTTCGGCCAAATTAACAATTTTCTTAGGCTGATGTCTGATTACGGCCGGAGCGAAAAATTGCCCCCCGGCCTTTAGGCCTAACCATTTTTCAAATGGAATAGATTTGTAATCAGAAACGTAAGGAAAATTTTCTTCATCTAGCCAGGCATTAAATCGAGCCCTGTCTTCATTTATCCATTGCCCTTGTAGGATAACAGGAGCTTTTATTTTCAACATGCAAGCGAATGACTTTTGCATCTCTTTATGGCCACGAAGAACTTTTTATGCTTCCAAAGATTTTTTTTGTTCCTCATTGTATTTTTTCAATTCCTCTAGGAGCTCGTGCAATCGGCTAAATGGAGCCAGATTGACATTTTGATCTATCATGTGAACTTCGTAGTTTTAGCACTGGGTCCCACTGGGCGTGCCAAAATGTTGACCCTAGAAATTACAAAGCCTACGTGGCGCGCAGGCCGAGTATATTCTAAGCTAACTACGTCCTTCGGTGATTGCGGGGCGTGCCAACTCGTCGGCCGAGGTTCGGCCGAGGAATAAATTTGATGATGCTGTGTTGAGTCGCGCTACTGACTTTTGCGTCTTGCGATTGCGGCCGAGAAAGGAACACGTCTCGGCCTCTTGGGTTCTCGAGCCTGAAGACAAGGCTGCTATTTCTTACAAAGTTCACGAACCGAATTCGGCTTGCAATGTGCCGAATAATAACTGTGACACCTCACCTCGCCGAGAAAGCTAATGAGATGACCTCGACCAACAAGGATCCGAAAACCCCTCTCGACCGAGACTTGGATAGGTAACCGACCGTTCTCGCCGCAGTGCTGTTGATGCCAACGGAAGATACTGCGAGACCGACCGACTCTACGGTGACAGAGCTATCTATGCCGACTTAAGATACCACCGGTTGCTTCCACAGTGCTGTTGATGCCAACGGAAGATGTGTCAGCGAAAAAGGAAAAGAAAAAGATCTCAAGTTGTGAGAATTTGCGCAGGGCAATTTTGTATTGATTTTTTGTGGGGCCTCTTGAATAATGCACAGCCTCATGTATTTATAATACTATTTACTGGCCATGTTGAACTTTATCCGTCGCGGCATCCAAGCTATCAAAATAATATTCCTCAGAATATTTTCCTTCAACAACCCCACGGATTGCTATTCAATTGTTATCTTTTGCATGCCCAAAAGAGACCATATCACTTGGAACTCTACTTCCCGTCAGACAGTATCCTAAACATCACCAACTCTTGCTTGGTCAAATCCTAATCTTTCACCCATCCACATATGCTTTATCCACGCATACATGATACTTAAAACAAATGGTTAATGGTTTTTGCTTTATCTGCAAAAACCACCATGATCCTGTCACATCACCTTGTTTTGGTTACTCCCCACATCATCTCAATGTGCTGATCATCCCATTACTTTGTGGAATTGCTCCCCACGGTTCCGTATACCAAATAGAACTCCAATGCTGCATGGTATTTTACATAACCACAATTAATTCAAACTCTGTTGTTGTTGTTTTCATTGGAGATAATGAAAATCCCATTTATTCCTCCGTATAAGAAAAGGATAAATAATGATTATGATAAAAATCATAATATTATCCCTCTATCTTCACTTTTCGATCGACGGTGTAGAAACGTGCTTACTCAACGACCTTGATTACTCGGGCCGATGGTGTAAATTTGGGCTCAAACAGTATCTAAGAGAGATGTGAGTGTTACACATCCCTGAATCCCCTTGGACTTTTTTCCACAACGTGGCAAGGAAAGGAGAATCGGCAGTCTTCTTTTCTCTTTTACTGTATAAGTAGGTTCAGAATAGTCGATACCAATTAACCGTGCCCAAACCGAGTTTGTAAGAAACTTGTGCTTTTAATGAAACAATGGAAATGTTGGGATTGCATTCGAAAATCGAAGGGATGAATCGATTCCTGTATGAGCGCAATTAGTGATGATGTTTCTCAACTTCGATATGAAAACCAACGTACAAATTACAAATTTCCTCCAATGATGGATGCAAATCAATCTTAGTTGATGAATCGATTTTATACTATATATTACTCCCTATTCTTGGTATATTTTGGTTATTATTTTGGTGAGATTTTGATGCTTTGTTATGTGTTTTTAATGTAGGACATGCGAACTTGTTATGAGCATAAAGTAATCAAACAGTGGATTTTTTGAGTGATTCCAATTGGAGCGGGTTTATGAATCTGTCAAGAAGGCTGTATCAAAATTTCATAATTTTATCCCCAAGCATTTGATTGTGGCGAATTAATTTATACCCAACGCGCAGTGTTGGCATATGGGGCTGCAGAGCTTATTTGCGACTCCTGGGTTGGAAGATGATGGATTTTGGACTTGGACTTGGACTTTTCTTGAAACTTGAAGAGGAGGTCCTTTAATTCAAGTCGATTTGGGCTTGTTTTGGAGCCCTAAAGGTCCAAAAACGTGGTTATCTCTTTGCTGGGCAGATTTCGTAGTTAGAATAGGAATGCAATTCCTAGTTATCCTTTTATTATTTTATTTCCTAG